GGGGGGGGGGGGGGGGGGGGGGGGGGGGGGGGGGGGGGGGGGGGGGGGGGGGGGGGGGGGGGGGGGGGGGGGGGGGGGGGGGGGGGGGGGGATGAGAGATGGGAGTTAGGGGTAAGCTTAGTGACAATGATTTTATCTAGCCAGGTGACACCAGGCCTGCTTGCAGCCTAGAGACGAACCCGATGAATATAGGCGGTCGAACCAATTCATGGGTCTTAAGTGCCGAGATAGGAAAGGGGTTGACGAGGCAGAAGATTTGAAGCCCTCAGGTCCATTCCATAGAATCGTTGATGTGGTGTGTATGCTATAATCGTGGTTGTAGTTGTTGTTCGAATAGAGGAAATTAGTCTCACGGAGAAACGATGCGTCGTGTTAAGAGTAGCACCCTTGAGTGACGGCAGTGACACTCAATACCCTTTAGCCTTTAGTACTACTAAACCACAACCAGCTGCTGGTTCTGTTGCGCGTCGGTTTGGCAGGAATAGCCCCGAGCGATTTCTACACGCGGCACATGTGGGGGGGGTGGTTTCATCGCTGATGGATGTGCATGTACGCACCTTCGTGGGTGGGGATAGGGGGGGGGGTTTAGTGACTATTTGTCCTCTGCGCGTATATTTTAATGAGCTGCGGAGCGAGCGACATTTTTTCCCTTCGTCCCCAGGAGGGAAAAATAGGCTCTGTTAGATTTACTCGCAGCAGTATCTGGTCGTGAGGATCCCAAGGGAGTACGTGTTGGGAATTTCGTGTGTTGTAGGGTACCACCGGTGCAGTTACGTTGACCCTTTCGGCGCGGTTGGAACGATGAGGCTTGCGGCGTGTTGCGCACTCTTTTCTTCCTTCTTCTTCTTCCACCGCTACCGCCGTCTCTCTCCAATCAACTTTCCTTCTCCCACTCTCTCTCCACCTCTCTCTCGGCCTAACACGGCCGACTACCCAGTGCCCCAAGTAACGCCCAGGACGGGCTTACTGCACCCCGCGTACTTTACCTTCGACACTAGTGTCGATATCACCGTACTGCGCGCGGGCGTAGCCTTCCGGCGGTTGTGCAATCACGCGCAATCGGTAGACTCCCACAACAACAAACACCATGGAGGGCATCGACCTCTCCGCCCTTAGCGGGGAAGAGCTACAGCAAAAAGTGGAGGAGATCGTCCAGCAACGAGTACAAGCCGAACCTGAAGCCAACAGGATCAACGAGGGTGAAGTCACATACGCCCAACCACCTGCCGTCAACCCAGTCCCACCTACCGGCAACTAGCCATCACCCTCCAGCCAAGGCAAACCAGCCACCTTCAACGACCCCAGCAGCGTCGCACACATCGTGGCGCAAGCGGCTAGGGTGACAGCTGAGGCCATCGCTGAACAACAGGGCTTTGCCCGCTCAGGCACGTCACGTGTCAATCCTGGCTCAGAAATAGAACCTTGGCTTGGTAGCGTGAAAAAGGAGCAGGACTTGTATATTATGTTCGATATTTTTCGTGGTAAGATGATTTCGAATTTTCAGGAGGGTGTGCATGATGCGTTGGAACTGGAGGTCGAGGTCAAGGACGGGTGTGAATGTAGCCGAGCTTCGGAGACTTTTTGGCAATGATGTGGTAGACAAGTCTTTCAAGCTATGGAATAATCTCATCAGTAAGGTTTTGTACCCCCCGATTCAGAGCTTGATTCTGGCGTGTGAGAGTCCACGAAAAGGCTGGAAAATAGTGACAGAGTTCTATAAGGAGAAGAAGCAGTCAGAAAAGTCGAGGTTGGAGCAGGACTGGAAGGAGTTGGAGATGAAAGCGTTTGAGAGTCCACAGGACTATGTTGCCCGGGCAGAAGGCTTTCGCTTGCGTCTAGCGTCTGTAGGCATGATTAAGGATGAAACACATGCCAACAAAGACATTGCTCGTGGCCTTCTCTCTTCGTATGTCGNTATGTTCGATATTTTTCGTGGTAAGATGATTTCGAATTTTCAGGAGGGTGTGCATGATGCGTTGGAACTGGAGGTCGAGGTCAAGGACGGGTGTGAATGTAGCCGAGCTTCGGAGACTTTTTGGCAATGATGTGGTAGACAAGTCTTTCAAGCTATGGAATAATCTCATCAGTAAGGTTTTGTACCCCCCGATTCAGAGCTTGATTCTGGCGTGTGAGAGTCCACGAAAAGGCTGGAAAATAGTGACAGAGTTCTATAAGGAGAAGAAGCAGTCAGAAAAGTCGAGGTTGGAGCAGGACTGGAAGGAGTTGGAGATGAAAGCGTTTGAGAGTCCACAGGACTATGTTGCCCGGGCAGAAGGCTTTCGCTTGCGTCTAGCGTCTGTAGGCATGATTAAGGATGAAACACATGCCAACAAAGACATTGCTCGTGGCCTTCTCTCTTCGTATGTCGTGCGAAAAGGAATACTGCTTGCCCACGATGTCCTGACGTTGCGTACCCGTGAGACTGTGGTGAGGGACGCCCACGGGGAGATGGAGCGCGAGAGGAGCAAGGGGGAGAGGTGCAAGGTGGAGCTCGCTCTCGCCGCGTCCAGCATGGGCCGGCGCGGCGGGGGCAGTGGGGGGGCATCCGGGGGTTAAGACGGCGGTCACGCAGCAGCTGGCGGCCAAGATAGAGACGGAGAGAAGAAAAACGGTGATGTGTTCAATGAGGACCCCTACGGATTTTGCCGCTACCACCAGTCCGAGCTTCACACAAACGAGCAGTGCCGTTTCCAGCGGCAACTGCGGCGCGCGCGTTCGAGAGAGGGCGCCGAGAAACGCCGCTCGGGGGGCGGCAGCCGCGGCGGCGGCGGTAGCCAACGAGGGGATAGACCGCCGCCGGGGCCCGGCCGCGGTGGCGGGCGATGGGTGAGGATTGGAGGGCAGCAGCACCACATCGGTCATGGTGGCGGTGGCTGGAGCCAAGCCTCGCCCCCCCCGCGACCTCTTCGTGGACGTAGGCCTAGTGGTCGTCTGNTGCAAGGTGGAGCTCGCTCTCGCCGCGTCCAGCATGGGCCGGCGCGGCGGGGGCAGTGGGGGGGCATCCGGGGGTTAAGACGGCGGTCACGCAGCAGCTGGCGGCCAAGATAGAGACGGAGAGAAGAAAAACGGTGATGTGTTCAATGAGGACCCCTACGGATTTTGCCGCTACCACCAGTCCGAGCTTCACACAAACGAGCAGTGCCGTTTCCAGCGGCAACTGCGGCGCGCGCGTTCGAGAGAGGGCGCCGAGAAACGCCGCTCGGGGGGCGGCAGCCGCGGCGGCGGCGGTAGCCAACGAGGGGATAGACCGCCGCCGGGGCCCGGCCGCGGTGGCGGGCGATGGGTGAGGATTGGAGGGCAGCAGCACCACATCGGTCATGGTGGCGGTGGCTGGAGCCAAGCCTCGCCCCCCCCGCGACCTCTTCGTGGACGTAGGCCTAGTGGTCGTCTGGGGCGTCACCCTGGGGGGTCGTGGGCCCGCAGGACGCCACAGCAGCGACTGTCATGCCGAGAGAGAATGCGGGCAGGGAGAGGCCCGGGGCACGCGCGTTCTGGCCACGGACGAGAGCAGGCGTACGTTGTGTACGCCCACGATGATGGTGGCTACTACGAAGACTGTGGCTACTACGACGATGGATACTTCTACGACGACGGCTACTACGACGCCGGGTACGCACACTACGCCGGCGGTGGGGACAGCTACAGCTACTCCTCCGGGTACGAAGACAGCCGCTCATCTGACGGCGGCATCCACTACGTCTACTACCCTCCCGCTGGCGAAGATTCGTCATTCGAGTAGCCACGTCAGCCCCCCCCCGCGAGCAGCAGCAGCACCGCTTCCTCCTCGTCCTCTACTCCTTCTCCTGGCGCGCCTCCATCTTCGGGCTACCTCCACCTCTGCATGGCACAATCGGTGCCCCTAGGCAGGTCTCACCCCGAAGATTTTTTTAAGTAGGATAGGAGTGACGATTGGAATAGAGTCTGCTGCGTCTGCTTCGTCTTTGCTGAGTGTGGAATCTAGTGAGGGGCCGCCTGGTAGCGAGAGATGGGTAGCTGACTCAGGAGCCAGCAACAGTTTCACCAACAGTGACTTGCACATGTACGACTTGCAGGAGATACCCTCGAATAGGCAGTATGTCATTGTAGGAGATGGTCGTCTGCTGAAGGTGAAAGCAATCGGTAGCATCAACCTCAGCTTTTTCCAGGAAGGTGAAAACGGTGTGCCAAC